GGTTTAACAGCATTACAGGTAAATCTTCTCTTGTTTCGTGGCCATTCTCGTTTTCAAACAGTCCTACTCATTCTTCTTTTTTATCTTCTTCTTCTTCAGGCATCCGAAACTCCACTGATGTATTGCAGACGGGTGTTTCCTTAATCAATGTACCCGCCTTACACCGGTAATTTATTGCAGACGGGTGTTTCCATAATTTTCATCCATCAGAAATTGGTCAAATAACATAAAATTCGATAATCAATTATGCACTTCCCCAAAAAAAGATACCAACAAAACAGGAATCAATAAAACTTAAACAAAGTCACTAAAACGAAGGATGATGCCATGAAAAAGAAAAATTCTCCCAACCGCAGATTTATTATCGGTCACTTGAATCGTATCGGAAACGTAATCCTGAAACACAGTAAATGACAAGATACTCAAATGAGGGATGGAATGATTACATGAATTAGCCAATTTGTAGAACGTCGCAGCTTTTTCGTATAAATCTGCGGCATCTTCGTATTTTTCGCCGAACAAATTCCAGCTAGCGATCTTCTTCTCTGCTTTTTTTCTCAAACTCCTCTCCTTTTACAATTTGATCATCTCCCTTCCCAATGTCCTCCGCCATTTTATTTCTGATCTCTCGTGTCCCAACTCGCAAAAGCGAGAAGGAGATGGCAGTAGAACGAATGCGGGCTGTGATGTCCATTTATTAGAGAGAGACGACGAGAACATTTCTTTAAAAGACGTTGACCGGTTCCGTTCGGAGGACGAAAAATCCTCCACCTCAACCAGTCCGACATGCTCGATCAACTCGTTGAAACTAGGGTTGTGCTTGGATGTTTTTGGTAGGTTGGTGTACATTAGATTAGAAAACCCAGTGGAAAATGCTTGTGGTCTGGTGCTTGAAGGTTTGCTAGAGCTTGAAGAAGCTGTTTACCTCTCTTTCATTTTTTTGAGAAAGAAGATGATGAACAATGTCTAAGAGTAATTTCAACATTTTAAAAATCTTAAATCTTATATGAAGTCACATGGTATATGATGAGGGCGGATTTGCCCCTCCAATGACATTGTGACACCTGGTATCTTATGATAATTAAGTGCAGCCTCTTGACAAATAGACAGATCGAGTTTGCCACTTACAGGCAGTTCGCCACAAAGCAGCTCACCCTCATGTAGCCTGGCACCTTAGAACAAATAGGTGACACCCGGGGCCACTTTGGCAACAACTTGCCTTTGCTAAATTGATAGTGTCCCACTAAGCGTAGCCTGGCATAGCCGCGGCCCGGCACAGGCGCGGCCTGGCGCAAGCAAGACCTGGTGGCCTAGCCCTGACACGACCTGGTCCTAGCACGAGCTGATAGCCTAGCCCTGGCACGAGTTGGCAGCCTGGCCCTAGCGCGGCTTGGCCCTGGCGCGACTTGGCCTTGGCACGAGCTGGCGACCTGACACAAGCACCAACCTAACAACCTAGAGGAGCTCACCACCGTACCCCGCATTTCATGGGATTGTGACTTATAACGGCAATATTAGCTCACCCACTCCCCGACTCAGGCAGAAATGGACAACCTTACTAGTTGGTGGCTTTATGTCCACCTAACACGAAAGCAGGTCCCATCACAGCGGGAATCCAAGAACTGCTCCACCTCTGCTCTCTAGATCTCTCATTCTCTAATATCATTCTCAGCTCTTCACTAAGTGCTAACTCAACCATCGGAGTGACCTCGCCGGGTAAACACCCCCAAGTTCTCTGATTCAGTTCGTACAAGTCCCTCAGTTCCCACCGTCTATAGAGATGAGCAGATCATCTCCAGCAGAAAGTAGCCGGTTCAGTTCCCGTCGCTGCTAGTAGCCAGATCACCTCCTGTAGGGAGCAGCTGGGTTGCACTACGCCAAGGAGCTCAACTTCAGCCCCTGAGTCACAGGCCACTTGGGAATAGACGAGATGACAAGGTACTTAGCCAAAAAAAATGATACGTGACCAGAAACGGTTACATCAGTATACATAATTGACAGTCCATTAACGTTAGGTACTAGATTGTTGCAAATTGAAAGTTCAGGTCCTAGATTGTCGCGTTTTAAAGTTTGGTACTAAATTGGCACTTGGCCTAAAGTACAAGGTACCTATTGGGAATTTTCCCTTTATTAAAGCACCCCTATAGTTTATAACCTATTTATTTAATGGACCTTTGTTTTTCCGTCTAAATATTAATATGATCACCTAAATTAAGTGGAAAAAGTTCAAGGGTATAGGCTTATGTGACTGTGATTGCTTATTTCAAAAGTATCCCTAATATTTCTTCATATAAAAAACAAAATTGACCAAAATAGAGTGATTGCTGGTGTCTTATTAGAGGTAAAAATGGTATTTTCATTTTTTATTTCTTTGATAAAATTTATTCAAATGGATATTAAGGTCAAAAACTATGATTTTCTAATATCATATAATGAAAGAAAATCGATTGCAAATTATAGGGAGTGTTTTAATAAATCACATAAAGAAAATGTAACTTTCCCCTTAAACCCAGGAACAAATTCTTATATTTTTTGACAGCATATTAAGGTATTTGTCTTGTAATAGAAGTTTCGTGTTCCCCAGACTTTTGCTTGTGATTTGTGAAACTTATCAAGTGCCTGTTTGGGAGGAACGGCTTCAGAGTTCTGACTTTGCAAGGTGAGCTCACATGGAAAGCTTAAAATCTATATTTGACGAAAAACCTGGAAAGCTTCAACTTTTTGGAGAAAGTAAAACTAATTTTAGTGGCTTCTTCAAAGTGATTCAGTCGGCAACTCAAAAAAAGCTGAAGCCTTCCCAAATGGGCTTAATGCAGGTGGAACTGTGAAGTGTGGAATAAAGTTTTTGCCCCACTCTCAACGGGATTGAATGGTTGAACCGGTGGTTAATGACCCAGTGGTCTTTTTTGACCCTAATTAACTGAGGGTTTTTATGGTTTGAATGGGCTAATTAGCCCGACAGTGACCCAATGAACATTCTGGTTTTCTGCCTGATACCAATGATAACATTGGTTTTCACCAAGGTTTTAAAAATCGGATTGGACATGGAACCATTTCGACCATCCGGTTTGAATCGACAGTCTGTTCTGATCTAAAAAATAAAAAATAATTGAAAGGCCAAAAACCATTGCCCAGGTCAACGGTTTGACCGCCTATGTCAGCAGGTCACTGACCAAATCACTAGTTTTTGGTCCAGGAATTGGTTTTAGGGTAAAACGAAACTAGTTTCCTGACTGATTTCCAGATTAACTGGTCCGGCCCGATTTTGAAAACCATGATTTTCACCCTACCAAATTCTCATATTAAACTAAATTACCTTTCACCATTAAAGTTATTTATTAAATTTTGAAAACCAAAACAATTGTTAGCTTGCCCAATTGCCAAAATTACTAGCTTCCCTGGATTCTTCAGAATACAGGATAGGGATCTGCATATCGATTTGGTGTTTTCAGTTGTTTAAGTAATTTTAATTGCGGTTAATTTAGGGGCTGTTTAGTTCTTTTTCTATTTATTTAATAAATATTTTTTTCAATATCTCTATTGAAAAATGAGAAAAAATGTTGAAATATGTTTTCAACATATTTTACAATTAAATGGAACGTCATTTTTTATTGGGTATTTAATACGAGTCTGGATCTCCTGCTCATGAGAATTCTGCCCGCGTCTAACCACATAATATCGCAACCATACATGGAGAATATCTCATCCTCCTACATTCACAGGGGATAGTGTGTTGTGGGTAGACATGGATAGGAGATTCGGATTCAATTAACACAACACATTGAAACTCTTGTAAAGGTAGGTGGTAATAGAAGGATTCAGATTCCCCATATCCCCCAAGACTATCCAACTAACATACCAACCAAGTGAGCCACAAAATTCCATCATGCATTTACATTTACACATTTGTTTTCAGTGTTTTTACGCATAAATCAATGTAAACCTTTCCGTCGACAATTGATGTAAATAATGCATCGATTTTATTGATGTACATTTACATAGATTATCACATAAAAAGGATCCTTCAGATGAATTTTCCATCAAAAACAAACAGCCTAAATTTCAAATAAAACTGCAAGGAACCATACACCATCTTAATAGGGAAACCTAAATTTCAAATAAACCTCTGTACGCAAAGGTTATGTTTGATTTGAAGGAAACCTAAATTAATACAAACCTTGTATTAATTTCTGTCTTTTCCTTCCTTTCCCTATTTTTTCTTTCAAACCAAACATGGCCAAAAAGTTTCAATGGAGGAAAAAGTTGTGAAAAGAGTTCAGTTTCCCTACATAGTTCTTACTTCAGGCATCCCATTCTTAGAGAAAAAACTTTAAACTGTTTGAGGGCAAATAGCCTATACTGTTGAGAGATTTTCTGAAAATGCCACATTACCATGAAAATAGATAAATTAGTAATTACATCTTAATTTATTTTGACTAAAAGCTATTAAAGAAAGGGAGGACCAGGCATCCCCTCAACAGATCAAAGTCTAGAAAAATTCACCCGTGAATTTTATACATATTAAAACTAGATATCGCGCGAGTCATCAGAGTCTATCTGCCTCATCCTATTAGGGGCTACAGCTACTGTTGTTCAACAATGCTCATTTAAAAAGTCATAAACAGTAACCTAATCAATGAGTGACAGTCACTTGTTCTTTATTCCACAATTTCCATCGATAGAAAGCAGTAAATTCAGTATTTCCCTCTAGAACTGGGGCGCTGTTCCAACAAGCTTCTTCAAGGGGAGATGTTCAGCAAACAATAATATGATTTCTTTATAGTGGGCATAATTTTTTCCTTTTTATTCCATCAATAAAAGCACATCAAACAGTAACTTAATTCATTTGGAACTGTTTTCCCCCACATTTTCCAAGTATAATGGATGGAAAGAGAAATCTTAATAGCGGATTAGTGGACACTCCCGTGTATAGTGGGTGCTTCCTTTAATTCACAGTTGTCATCAACATAGCAGAGAGATCAACATTTAAATACATAATCTAATCAAGTAATAATCTGAACTGTGTGGAACTATGTGATTAATTAACCTTCACCCATATATTACAGTTCAAAGAAAGCAATGAAGAATGAACAACTTCATATCTACCAGAATAATGGGAATCGTTTTCCACAACTTTCATGTATGCTAACAATTGTAATTCCTTTACAAAGAAAAAGGGTAAAAAAAAGCTGTAAAAGGATGTTAATTAACCTTCAAGGCATGACAAGCACCCTTTTCTTCCAAGAGAAGACCACTTCTACAATTTGATCAATTTAAACCCTCAAAGCCACCTGATCTTGCCATGAAATCTTCCTCTTCCCAGACCGATTAGAACCATTCCCCATATCTCTACATACTGATAATTTCAGATCGTTTGGTTGCTCATCTACCTTCTTTGCCTTCTTCTCCACTTTCATGGGTTCCCAAGCAACCTGGAATTCTCCTTCATCTTCGCCCCTCTACAACAGACATAATAATCAAATTAAAAACTCAGAAAATCAAGCTAAAACCCATCAAACAATTAGCATATTTCATGGAATTCTGAAGTTAAATAATCCAAAAGTTCTAATTATTTACTGAAATCTGATTCAGATCCAAAACTGGAGCTGGGTTCTTCATGGCAACTTCTTTCTGCTTGTAAGTCCTTTCCTTGGAAAGGATTTCGCTTCGGATTTCTGGATTTTGGATCCAAACAGGGTTACGTTCTTGTTGGGGATTTGGAATTTGGTTTTTCATCAGATACTTGTATCTTCCCCTCAAGAACCTGAAATCAATGGAAGAAGTAAAGTGTAAAACTCAAGGCCCTAGCATTAAAATCTTTCCCCTATTTTTTAACTGTCAAAAGAAACTCTGCAAACCCATCAGAAATTAAAACAGGCAACATACTTGACTTCAGCTAACAGGGTTAGCTTCCTTTCTTTGGCTCTCTGCAAATTATTCTTCATGGCCTGTACATCCTGTAAAAGCCCTACTGTTAGAAACCCTTCTGTGCATTGCCAAAGAAACCAAATCATTTAAACAACATTGGAACAGAGAAAAAATCTGAACTTTTCTTCAAAGAAGGCGAATTTTTTTATGAAAATAACCCAGAAAAGGGAATTTTTCGGGAAAACAAAGAAAATAAAAGAGATCAAAATCTAAAAACAATGGAAGGAAGCCCTAAACGATCTGATTACGAGAGAACCCCCAGAGTCTTCCTTAATAAATATAAAACAAGGAAAAAAAGTCGCAAAATCGAAGAAACCCATAAAGCAGATGAGAATTTTCGAACAAATCCGAAAGAAAACCTAGATCTCCGTAGATATAAATATAAACAAAAAGAGGAGAAAAAGGATTTACCTTCACCAGTTCTTCATACTCTTGCATTAGATGTTGATGCCTCATTCTGCTCCTGGCGTCCTCATCAACAACATACGAAGGAGAGGGAGAAGGAGAAAGATCCATTGAAACCACCCTCTTCATTTTCTTCAACATGGCATCTCCCGCAACAAATCCCAGAAGAAGATGAACAAAAATAAAACGCAGCCCTAGACCGAAAACCTCGAAACCAAGAATCTCGAAGTAGAAGAAGAGATGGGTCTCGAATTAAATACAGACCGACAAAGAGATAGGGTCGAGATGTTAAGAGGTAACAGAGAGAAAGCAATGAAATAAAAGTAAAGGGGAGAGAGAGGTAGAGAGAGAGAGAGAGAGGCAAAGTTCCTTGTTTCCTCTTTTCTCTCTGAAACTCTGACCGAGACAACCAGGAAAGAAAGCCCACATAAATCGGAAAAATAATTTTTTTGGGCTGTGATGAAGATGGATTTTTTTGGGCGTTGCAGAAGGGTATTTCAGGGAAGTTGTTTTTATGGCGGTTTGGTTGCAATACGTTTGAAGACACCTTTCCTTCTTTCCTTCCATCTTCTCTTTATCTTTCCTTCTTTCTTTTTTGTTTTTCTTCTACATAAATTTTGGTCCAGCTGGGCCATTAGGAAGAGAGAGAAAGACTGAAAGAGAGGATGGCTGTTTTGTGTGGACTCCTTGTTTTTGGAGGGTGGGTGACTGGGTGACTTCTGTTGTTTCTTTGTTTCGTCTCTCCTCCCCTTTCCCCTCTCTTTCTTGGTGTGTTTGCTTGGGTTTTGGTGAATAGAGAGAGAGGAGAGAGAAAGAAAGAAAGTATGAGAATATGAGAGAGAGAGAGGGGGGTGCTGAAAAAAAGCAGTAGATGAATGGCTGCTGTTTTCTGATGCGTTACAGTTGCTGCCTTGTACCTTGTTAGACTTTGTATTTGATGGCCTCCTTCTGATAATGGAGGTGAATGGCTGAATGAGATGTTTTTTATATTAAATTTTATAAAATTAAGTTTAAATTTACTAATATACCCTTAATCACTGCAGATCTGTTCTTGTTGGTTATTGCTAAATAAAGTATTTTGATTTCAAATTGGATGGTTAGGTAGTTGGTCTTCTCCTCCACTAAAAACCCACATTAATTCTGTCTTTTTCTTTCCTTTTCCTTTCCATTCATACCCTGTACTACATCTATAGAGATTTTATTATATTTCTTGTAACTTGTGAAATAACCGGAAACCACCCAGAACTTACAGGTTGGTAATCTGTGAATCTCTGAGCCCAGAATATATTTTGAACTCTTCTGTAATTGTCTTCTTCTTCAATTGTTAATTAAACGACTGTAGATGATGTAACAGAGAACAGTTCTAAGGAATACCAGACGGTCCAGACCCTTCAACCGAATTAATATACACGGTGATTGTTGAACCAAATCAAATCTCATCAAACTGAGAAATCCATAACTAAGAGGGGCATATCTGTAAAACAGTATTACACCCAAAAGCACCCACCATCCCAGATCCATCCAAGAAACAGCAGAAATGTCTCTCTTAACCATGAGAGGGATTGAGTTTTTCTCAAGGCAAAATTGTTTCACACACAGAGAGAGCGCTTGAGTTAGAGTGTTGGGGTGGAACTTGGAAAGTGGAAAGAAAAGCTGATAAGACTTTGGTTTTATTTCTGTAAAATTTGTCGGTTGCAGGTCTCCAACATGGAAGGCACAGAGAGTCAGAGAGAAGGGGAGAGAGAGAGAATCTCAAATCTCAATTATTATTATTTTACTTTTTAATTGCTTTTTTACTTTCTTTCGGTTCCTCCTTGCCTTCCCTACGGAAATTCGTGCACGAGACCCGTTTTTAACGGGTTTGTTTCGAACCCAGAACCGGTTTGATTTTATGCAAATAAACCTACCCGGATATTTTCGGACCGGATTGGTACAAAAGTAGAATCAGGGCTAAACGGGTCAACCATTTTGAGCCGAACAGACAACGACTTGACTACACAGGTCATTTCCTGCTAGGTCAGAACTGGGGTGATAAAATGGTTTTGGAGTCATGCAAGGACATTTGAAAGCTGAAAGATGAACCTGCCCTAACTGATCGGGCAAGGTAAGCAAAGTCAAATGTGATACTACATATGTGGGCCCATGAATTTTATTTAGCTTGGATGGTTAAGATTACACTCTTTAACGGAGGAGGACCTATCAGATCGTTGATATGTGTCATGAGCCATTGGAGTATTATATATACGCGCATCTTACACTTGCAACACACATCTGGAATATTATGTAGTGATCCATCTTGTCTCAAATAAGTGTATGATCCCCGTGTAAGCGTGTTTTTTAGAAAGCTTTAAGGGTTAAGGCTACGTTTGGTTGCACCGCAATTGTACTTTTACTAGTAAGAATGTATGGGAGTTCAAACGAAAATAATGCAAATTTTGTTTTGGGTTATTGATGGAATGCGATTTGAAAAAGCTCCTAGCTGGTAGGCAGTTCGGACGTTGGTCTGCTTTGTTGGCCGGTCAAACTACAAGAGAAGGGATACTCAGAGGATCCGGGGGTGGCTTATTTGGTGTGGTCGCTCTAATGCTTAAGTCAGTATATATACGGTAGTAAACTAGTGAGCAAGTAATCGTACGTACCTAATATCATTAGGGTAGATGCCCTTATATAGGTGAGTTGTCGTAGGTCTCATGAAACACCTCTGAGATCTTCGGCCTGTGTTGTTAAGAGTCTGTTCCGCACTAGGAGGTGGACTTTATGCTAGCTGATAAGGCTTATCGTGTCCGTCCGATCCGGGCGGGATGAGGATAAGACCTACAGTTGTGCGGCGTGATCCCGAAAAGCTTGGAGACAGCTGACTTACTTCTAAAAATCTGCTACATGTCATCTCAACAGGTCGGGCCATCACAAGCTACTCGGACCAGGCCGAGGTGGCAGAAAATGCCGAGTCACTGTCCAGTCAGCAGGTCGTATCCACGTGTTCGCTAATTAAAAGGGCCAAATTACCCCTCATCAGGTTTTACTTTATTCTGTTTTAGGTCTTATTTTACATTATTTGTAGATTTGTTCATAGGGTGGGCTTCAAGCTTGATTTGCACTGTCGGGTTTAGGCTTTGGGGTCAGGTCCATTGAAATTTTGGCAAATGCCAAGCCCAAACACGGCCCATAAATAGGTCTAATTATTTGTACTGAAATCAAAGATGACAATAATGGGGTTTGTGATGCTTGTGGACGAGTAAAACATACTAGAGTTCCATTTCCAATAAGCTCGTCAAGAGCAACTTTAGCTTTTGCTTTGATACATGTTGACATATGGGGTCTTTATCACATTGCTTCTCATTCAGGCGCAAGATATTTTTTGACCATTGTAGATGATTACGACAAATGCATTTGGTTGTACTTGATGAAATTTAAGTCAGAAACATTTTCTTTACTTGTCTCATTCTATAACATGGTGAGAACTCAGCTCAAATGTAATGTTCAACAAGTCAGATCTGGTAATGGGAAAGAGTTCCTCTCTAATCCCATTCAATCATTCTTTTCTCAAAATGGGATTGTGCATCATAGAACCTGTGTTAATTCCCCACAAAAAAACGGGAGAGGTGAGAGAAAACACATGCACTTGTTAGAAGTTGCCCGTGCTTTGCTATTTTAAGCTTCACTACTAGTTAGCTTTTGGAGTGAATGTGTGCTAACTTCATCATACATAATCAACTATTTTCCAATCGTTCCCCTTTAAGGTAATTCCCCATTTGAGTTACTTTTTGGAAGGCATCTCACCCTCAATCACTTGCACACCTTTGGGTGCTTATACTATGCCCAGGAGTGACCATTAGACACAGACAAATTTGCACCTTGGGCAATCCGGTGTATATTTTTTGGTTATCCATATGGATAGAAGGGATATCGAGTATATATCCTTGAGACTCATCGAATATTCACCTCAAGAGATATAACCTTCTATGAAAATATTTTCCCATATACCAGTGATTCCTCTAACGAAAAGTACAATCTAAACATTGTATTCCGCTCCCTCAAACTAAACAACAAACAAAACCCTTTGTGTTTTAACCATTCAGATCAGTCCACTAAACTTTTGACATCTCAAGATAATGTCGAGATTGACTTACATCCATCTGCAAAGCCTATTGAACTGTAGTCTCGGCCTCAACGTCCTAAAAGACCACCTACCCACCTCAAAGACTTCATTTATAACTTGCCACATTCCACATCCACCTCAGCTTGAGCCTTGTTTGAACCCATTGAGCCCAAATTATATGCTCAGGTGGCCTATGATCCAAATTGGCAACATGCCATGAATGAAGAAATACAAACGCTCGAGAGAAGTAAAACATGGTCTATAGTCGACCTTCCTCGGGGGAAGAAGCCCATTGGAGCAAAGTGGGTATACAAATTAAAATACCCTATTGATGGCATGATAGAGCACTACAAAGCTTTTTTAGTGGCAAAGGGATACAACCAGGTAGAGGGATATGGTTACCATGATACATATGCCCCTATGGCAAAGCTAGTCACACTCCGTTGTTTATTGGCTATAGTGACATCAAAGGGTTGGGAACTTCACCAGTAGGACGTTAGCAACACTTCCTTGAATGGGGATTTGGCAAAAGATGTGTACATGAGCATACCTCCCGGTTTTCTCAAGCAACTACAAAGTAAAGTTTGCAAGTTACACAAGTCTTTATATGGGCTTAAACAAGCCTCACACTGCTGGTATGAGAAGTTTGCAACTGTATTGACAAACATCGGATTCAACCAGTCCACAATAGATTACTCCTTTACACTAAAGCGAGATGAATCATTCACTGTGGTTTTGGTGTATGTTGATGACCTGGTCATAACTGAAAATGATCCATCCCGCATACATGATCTCAAGCAACATCTCCATGATCTCAAGCAACATTTTTAGATTCCCTCTTTCTCTCTTTCTGATCACGAAAGAATTTAAGTTGTACCCAATCTTAGCCTTGGTGTATATCTGAATAGTTCATTTATTCGTCAGCCCAAAACCCTCTTGGTTGTGATGATGGAGATGATAATGGTAATAACTTTCATCGCAAATTTTAAGTGTGTCCCAATCCAACCCTATTTCACCTGGTGTGAGACATGTTTAATTGAAAGGTGTCCAAATAGGTAGCGGTGGCAATTGGGCGGGTTGGGTTTGGTTTAGGTTGAGCTTTAACCCAACCCATCTAACCCGCCAACCCATTAATGACCCAATTATATAAAATTAAATGGGTTGGGTTCAACCCAAACTCGCTTTAACCCAACCCAACCGGCCCAAACCCATTAATCTTATATTTATGGACTTAAAAAACAAATTAACAATCTCTTTACAAATAAGTTGGTCATAGCTTGGTGGTAATAGTTGTTACTATTTGCACAAGTGGTGAAGGTTCAAATCATATTACATGCATGCTATTTTTACAAAAGCGGTGAAGCCATTTGACTATGTTTGGATTTCGGGTTTGACCGAACCACTTAGGTTCAAATCGGTCAGACCAACTTGAACTATCTAATTGGATTATCTTTGAGCTAATCACATCAAGGGTGGTTGAACCATTTAGATCTAGATTAGTCAATGGTGGATTGACTTGGACCGGCCCATATCAGGTCTGTGCACGGGTTTGTGATCGAACTGATTGACCCAAAGTGGGTCAATGTAAGTACATTGGGTCAAGTTGTGTGGATATTGATTGGACCAAACGGTCCATACTGGGCAAAGCACGCGAACACCGAGCCATCCCGCTCGGAACCGTTTCGTATTCGAGTCGACTCGGATCGGGTCGGGCTGTGTGGATACTGGTTGGACCAAACAGCCCAAAATGGGCAAAGCAAGCGGTACTAAACCATTCCAACCAGAACTGTTTCGGATTCGGGTCGACCT